GCAAATGGCATAGACCACCAATAGCTATTGCTTTGTTGCATGGGCATTTCTTTATTTAAAATATTATAACCCTGCCTTTCTCCTTAAAAAGGACACAAGGTGGCTTACATTATTAAAAAGTCAATATTTAAAAGCTAAACAGCAAGTATACCTATATTAAAAACGGCACACTAAAAGATGGTAACCAAAGGTAAAACCAAAAATTAAAAACGGCACACTAAAAGATGGTAAGCAAAGGTAAAACCAAAAAGTAAGGCATAACAATCCATTTAAAAGCCCCACTCAGGCCATCAGTTACTAAGGGAAATCTAGACTAAAGAGAAAGAGTTTCTCCTGCTTGCAGAAGGACAGCAAAGATGGGGCCAGCCTGGCCTCTTGTGGGAGGCAGTTCCAAAGTCTGGGAGCAGCAACAGAGAAGGCCCTCTCCTGCATCCCCACCAAACATGCCTGTGAAGGTGGTAGAACAAAGAGAAAGGCCTCTCTTGGTGATCTTAACACCAGGGCAGGCTCATAGAGGGAGACACGGTCCTTGAGATAGCTTGGAGCCAATTTAAGGACTGGTTGTTTGGGTCTCTAAACAATCATCCATTTGCTCCAGACTTGCTCTGTTTGTGTGCACTTGCATGTCTGTGTTTATGTACTTTGTTTCTTAAAGGAAAAAGATGCTACATTTATGTAGAGACCATTTGCACTAATTTTAGAGCCCGTGATAAGAATCGCTGTATCTTGCTATTGTCTGGAGTTAAGGACTCACATGGAGCTTGAAAAGTCCTCATCAAAGTGTCTCTTCAGGACAACCTTAATGACAAAAATGATGAATTTAGCAAGTATTACTTCCATCCTAAGGAAGGAGGCACATATGGTATAAAGGAGTGATATAGTAATGAAACCATGGTGAAAGGAGTAGGTGATGATGGGCTTGCTTTGGGGGTGGATGGGTGAGGGGTTGGCCACTGGCACCCATTCTGTTCATACAGCTGACCTGGGTTCTTTACCCTTAAGTTTAGGAGGTCGTGGCAGGAGAAAGCGTGTGAAAGGGTTGCTTGGCAACTTCTAAATGCTTGCTTGCCGTTTCTAGGTGACCACATGCTTTATGCTTTCCCTATCTGTCTTGGAAGAGACCCAGGCAGACATGGAACTGAAGGCTCCAGTCTGCTTGGTGCAGAGTTTATGAATTGAGTATGTGCATCCCATCTTGGAATGTGTTGGTCATAAGAGATTTTCAAGGAACCTGGCATATTGCCCATGGCTTTTTGACTACAGGTGCCAGCCATTAGTTCCTATTTTAAAATAAAGTAATAATTCAAAATTGTGGAGAATCATCTAATGGATTTTTAATGAGCACAGATGTACTGTAAAGTTCTCCATGTTCTTTTCTGTACACCCTGAATTCCTGAACTAGAAAGTTCAAAGCATAACTATTACAATCACAGTGTACATTAAGCAAGGAAAATCAAACAAATCCTCTAATCTGATGCTGAAAAGTTGATTGTTAGAGTGACCAGCTTCTTAACTCACTCTGCTTATATGTGTCTTCGACAATATCCTGATCCAAATAAGTCAAGCTGAAGAATATGTATGCCATCACTAAAGCTCCATGCCAGGGAGTATTTAACATAATTTTTTTGCACTTCAGGCTGCTTTCAACTTAAAGCAGCATAGCAAAAGTTGTCAGCTTGAACAAAGAAACTCATCAACCATCTGGTCATAGATTTGGTTTACTTGATCTTATACTATAATAGTGATCATTTTTACTTCTACAGACATGTACTCAGGATTTCAAGTTAAAAAATTACCTCCATGATTTTGGAATGGATATTTTGCTGTAGTTTGCTTTTCTTGATTTGATTACTAAAATCCCTCTGCCTAGTTCGCCCATTCACTTCCTATTCTATTTAGAAAGAATGGTGTAACCACACTGGGTCAGGAACTGAGAGAATGGCACCTAGACCCCCAGAGCTTCTTTGTGTGTAAAACATTGTGCTGGATGGATGCATGGCCCATCTTGGTATCAAGCAGTAGCCTATGCATGTGCATTCCATTGCATTTGATAAACAATTATAATATAACCTAACATACTGTATAATACAATGTTGCTGTTATAAAGCATCTACCATGAAAATGGAGAAAAAGTCCTTAACACAAAGGTAGCAGATACTGCTATTTGAGTCACAAAGCCTTAAATAAATTGTGCAACCTGTCCTCAGTCACACCACTCAATCTGAACGAATAAAAATGGATCT